TCGAAATGAAAAACCAGCCACTCTGAAAGTGCCTCTTTCTTCCCTCGAACTCCCATCCTTTGGGGAGCAGGAGGTGCGAGGCAGCCTCCATGCTAACGGAACCTGGACACCTGGTGGCCCCATCTCAGACACCTCACCCGGAAATAAAGGGGTGCCTCTTCCCTGAATGTGTATCAGTATCGCCGTCTCCTGTAAATAGCCTGATGCCTAGATATTCGCTACTCAGCTGGCCTCAGTGCAGGCCTTTCTTTTCATGCCACGCAAGGGCCTTTTTCCTCAAAGAGGCAATGTACAGCATTTTACTCAATTTTCATCCATTAGGATCTGTATGTAAAAAGGATTTCGCTATGGGGGAAGTCTGTCCAAGGGGTCAGTGTGTCTATGTGTGTGTGCCCTAGCCTTTGTTATGTCAGTGATGCCATTAAGTGACCGTCAACTGTATACTAATCTCATTTATGCTATAAGACACAGGTGATGACCTTCATTTTTCATCCATTCTCCACTCACGGCGCATCTTGAATGACTATCCCTGGAAAATATTATTTTGGGACATTCGTTAGTCACTTAACTTACATCATTGGAAAGAAAGACGGAGCCTTGAACTAGGTAAACAATAATAAAGCACGAACAGGAAACATCAAAATATGCCAATAAGTAGCCAATGATGTTAGCTAAATACACTGTTTTAGCTAAATCATGGCTAAATAAAGCCATAAAAATGTCAGACTGTTGTGGAACAGGGCCCCAACCCAACAAAAGGAGCGTCTGACAGCATGCATGGCTACAGGGCCCATGTTTCTCTCAACTTTATTTACACCTGTGTGCTCTGGCCATTTCTCACATGACAGTGACCTCCTGACCTGTACTCTCCCTGTGCGACTCCCTGGTGATTGAGGGTTAGGATGAACACTATGCTTTGATTCCTTATATGCATTCCCCATTTGGAGCATCTAGATTCAGTTCTTAACCAACAAAGTGTCACACTTATCACAAGCCATGTTCAAATTATGAAGTCTTTATGTACAGTGGATTCATTTACCTGTGTTTATCGCCACCAATATGTATTTGCTTTCATTGTCTGTTACTGTTAATGGGACGAGGCAATACTGCATGCTTCCATTTAGGACACAAGGGAAATGATGGTGATGGAATAACAAATGTTTTTTTTTGGCCATCTGGAAAGATCAGACTCCGATCAGAGCTCTGGGAAAGGTAATTAGTTCAGCTCACTGAAGACCACAGCTTGAAATCCATCTGTGACGGCCATTGTGGTTCATCATGAACTTGTGCTGTGAAGTTCTAGAAATGTCTTTGGTGTGGCTTTATCCTTTGACACAGAGGGCTGTTTCTCACTTTTGGAATTTTGGAACCAGTCAGGGATGGACTAGCATTAAGGGAATGTTTTTGATAAACTGACACCAGTGAATTGAGTAAGAGATTTAAGAACATTGGAAGAAAGATTTCTACCATGCCCTCAGGTCCTGACCATGGCCTCTGCTGACAACAGATCAGTGATCTGCCCATTACACTACTGTATGAGAGGGACGTTATAACCGATTAACAATCTTCCACTCTCCCTTTGCCTTTGCTGAAATGAACATAGTCCTTATGAGTTTTGGGTTGGGTTGAGTCCCATTAATGTGTTTTTTTTCCAAGTAGTTATTCTGGGTGGGTATGAATAAGAACAAAAATAGCTTTTAGCTTAAACTTTAACAGGTATGATAAGCTGCACTGCACTCTCTGTATGTTGTCCCAATATGGTCATATGACCAGTCTGTTTAAATGGGCTCAGGTCCCTTCCTGCTTGGCTTCAGCTTGGGTTTCCATACAGCCTTCTCAGACGGGCTTTTGTATATATTCCACCATGCAAACCCTCACACGGGTCACAGCTTCCGGCAGAAAAAGGGAACTCTATGTGCCTTTGGGTGCCAAGAATGTCAGCTCTCCACCACCAAAGGCACAGCAGCACCTCAAGTGAAATGCCACATGTCACCACAAATGGTGACGCCATTCCTTTGCCGTGCATCTCTAGGCAAATCCAATAGTCTGTTTGTCAAGACACATTAATTGTGGCAGGCAGAAGGTTTAATCACTATGACACAAGCACAGTACTTAAGAGCACACTTAAAACTGGTCCACGGTGAAGCAGTAAGATAAGGACACACTCCTTCTCAGAGGTCTGGTTACATGCTTTTAACATGACCTTTCTTCATCTGTATTATACAAACCGGCCATTTTCAAGAATGTAGTTAACATTATTATGATGAAATTTTCCTGGGCAAAATAGTATATTTAAGACTTATTGAAGCCTGAATAAGGGAGGACTTATTCACTACACCAGTGAATCTCAATCTTGTTCCTGGTATAACCCCTGCCAAAATGTTTTCATTCCAACCCATCACATTCATTATTAGCCTATTAAGGACCATCTGGGCCTGATTAAGGCAGGGTTGGAATGAAAACATATTGGAGGGCACCAGGAACAGGATCGAGAACCACTTGCACTACACCATGAAAGGTCAGTGATACAGAGGCGTGGCCCCTTATTGCCCAATCCCACCCCCTGCAGACAGAACAGGCAGCATACGTTCAATGTGTCCCTCTCACACTGAGCCAATGTATAGTAACTGTGTGTCAATTGTGAGAGCTAAGCTGTACCCTCACTGTGTGAACTGCTAAATCACGCTTTGACACATGGGAGGCAGAGAACACCCAGGCAGTATTGTCAGTCACTTTTTATATTTTTGTTTTCTTTTCTATATACTTTAGTTCTCTTGTGAAGTCCATATAGAGTCTGAATACAAACCACATGGAGGAAAATGTTTCTGAAGGAGTTTTTTTGTGGAGCAAGTGCTAAGAGCTGCTTTTTATAATTACACAAATAACTTGAAATGCATGTTGTGTCCATGACTCTGTTCAAATTATTTTGAAAAATTATAATTTTTTTTCTGTACTTTAGGAAAATACAACGGTTAACATAAAAAACGTTTTGTTTCCTCTCTGTGGTCCATTTAAATTTTGTTAAAGGCTGCAAAGTCTCACTAAAATGTCATTTTGCGTCCAAAAACGGCTAGAAAAACAAATTACAACAAAATTCCTGTGTGTCAGGGTTGTGCAGAATTCAGAATTTATTAATGGTGTCCCATTCCATTCATGAATTGGAATTTGAATTGAATTGGCCATACCCCACAGGATGTTGAATTAGAATCACAGGAAGAAGATTTTTTTTTTTAATTCAATGCAATCAGTCATTTAGTATGTCATTTAACTTACTTTCTAGATGGTAGTAGGTAAGCACTGTACCACCATACCGCCCCTAAGTCTTTTTCTATGAGGACATTGTCTTTGCATATTTAATTCTTTATGCGTTTTAGCATTTTTTAGGAGTCTGCAGTAGCTTTTGTAGTCTCTTCCACCACGGTACACAAAGTGACAGTTACATTTTTTATTCTGTAGCTGACACTTCAATTTTTGTATTCTTTCATTCTGAATAACACAACATTTTTATAACAATGATACAGTGTATGTTAACATGTTTATGTGTAATCCATATTGAAATATTAAGCTTTACTGTTAAAAGCTACACCTTCACTGTGTACAATACCAGTCAAAAGTCTGAACACCCCTGCTTTTAATGCATTTACTTAGACTCTTCAAAATAGCCGCCTTTTGCCTCAGTGACAGCATGGAAGACTCTTGGCATTCTTTCAAGCAGCTTCCAGATATAGTTACCTGGAATGCATCTCCAACAGTACTGAAAGTGTTTCTGGAAGTTGGCTACCTTGTACTTTTTTATTTTTTGGTCCAGCTCATCACTCATCCCAAACCAGCTCTATAGGGTTTATGTCGGGGGCCAGGTCATCTGTTGCAGTACATATCTTTCCAAGTTCACAAGGTAAGACTATGTAACCTTGAGGTATGATTAGGGTTGTTATCTTGTTGAAAAACAAATGATTTTCAGTAGGTGGGTCCAAAATATTCACAGGAACTGTATAAGGATTTATTTGTATTCAATTCCATTTTACTTTTACTCCCTTAAATTCAAACTGGAATTCAATTCTGCATCCTGCTTCAATCACAGTTCAAATTCATGAATTGATTTGGAATTTCTGGCCTATTCTCAATTAAATTCTGAATGGTGCACAACCCTGCTGCAACTTATCAGGGTTGGAAGGAGGGGACCACACCAGTCCATCCTGGGTAATATGTCAGTTGCTTGTTACAGGACTTCACTGGAATCGGGGATCCAAAGGGAGAGCAAACCAAGAACCAGACCGCAAAGCTGAAGATTACCAGAAGATCCAAAAGAGCCAGAAGATCCATCCAGAGAGTGAAGGGTAAGGCAGGCACATGTGTGGACATAGGGGCAGCAGGACACACTAATTCCAAGACAGGGGATTAGGTATGGGGAAGGAAGGAATGGAAAACCACACAGGAAAAGATGAAAGGAAGCAGAAAAAATCAGGGGAAGTGAACACTGGAACTGACTCAATCACATCAATACCCTGCACCGATTAAACCAGCTGGACCGGTTAAATATGTCTGGTAATTAACTTAAATGAGCTAGAGCTAGAATTCAGTTGAGAGAGACCGGACCCAGGGGCGTGGCAGTGATGTGGATTGGGATCCAGCCTCACATGGCTCACCCACTAGAAATATAAACATGTATTTTTAAAAGTTCATGGAATTTATGGTCAACACCTAATTATGACCATAAGATCTTAATGATGAAGGAAAGTTGTAATGCTGGAATCCTGTCACAGGTCTTACCCGTACATCCTTCACTCTGCTCAGATTTCTGATTTCCAGAGATGATATTAAGCTGGTTCTCTCCACACAACAAGCAGGTACTCACATTTATTGGTATAACAGTACACACACTCCTAGAATTAAAAATTATGGTTGAAAAATCTGAAATTTCAAGCTATTCCACAAAGGGACATTCATCACACTGTAGGAGAGACGCTATACCAACAGACATTCTTACACATTCTTAGTCATTAACATTTATAGCAACTTTTATTTAGCTTAATTGAACTAATTATTTAGATTGTAGTTTGTCTCTCTCAATCAATATTTCCTGAATATTGCTTTGTGGTTTTGCAGAAAAATGATGATAAGAGATGCTATGGTCTCCATGAAGCAATCCTGTCCTGGCTACTGTATCAGCATCCTGAGTTTATAAACTTTATTTTCATGTATTCCGAGAATCGTCCTACACCTCATAGTTTGAGAAGTTCTGACCTGTACAATGTTCCTGGGAATTTTGAAAAATAAAAGGGTTTTACCCCAACTGGTTCCACAAGGTTGGTAGCATAGAATTGTCCAAAACGTCTTGATGTGCATATTAATATATTTTGGTTCATAAAGACATAGTTCGGTGAGTTTGGTGTGGAAGAACTTGACTGGTCCAAACAGAGCCCTGACCTCAACCCCATCAAACACCTTTGGGATGAACTAGAAGAGATTGCGAGCCAGGGCGGGGGGGCGCAACTCCATATTGAAGCCTATTGTATTAGATCGGGATGTCATAAAAATTCATGTAGGTGTAATAGCCAGGTGACTAAATAACCAGGTGACTATTTTGATATTCAATATATTTTTTGGTCATTCATTTTAAGAATTCCATGAGGTTGAAGATTCTATCATTACAGCAAATAAACATCTAATCAACGTGAATGAACTGTCAAACACTACTCACATTTTGTAACCGAGACATTTCAAATTTGCATTAACTGCCACAAAGTTAGAAGTTTATCAGTCTAAGAGATAATTCATAGGAGAAAATGCTCCCATGAATTGTATATCATCAATGTCGTCATCATCATCATCACCTTTCCTGGTGACAGTCACAGATGAATTGTAGATGAAAATTCAAAGTTTCATACAAAGTTTATGAATGGAGGTTAGGCCATACATATTATTTGCACAGGTAGCTTTGTTCTCATGGTAAAAATCACATTATCTACTTAAAATTGTTTCAGAGCAGTTTAATAACTTTACGTAGGACTTGACTGGTGTCCAAAAATCAATATCCATATAATCAGGAGTAAGAATTGCTGCACATCCAGTCTGCACAATGTACATTTATTAGTGACAGTTACAATGTGCATATCTGAATATGGGAAGACATTTTATTATGTAGATTTGAATGGAGATACGGTGATTTTTATTTTATTTTTTTTAAATCACCCAATACAAATTTTGTAAATTGTATTAATTTTTTCCCTGAGACACTGTAAAAGCAACCCTGGCAGGGATAATAAAATCAGGCTGTTTGACTATGGCTTTTTAATACCATTTGTTTAACACCATGCGGCAGTGATGCTAGAGTATACATTTCACTCTGAACCGATCCAGACATATAGTAGCAGGCTACTGGCTGGGGGTCTGGGCTTGCTCCAACTTTAGGTCCTTGGCTACCAGAGCAGCTGTGACCTGGTGCATGCAAGGCCGGTGTTTGAGGAACGTCTCCACCACCTCCGCCCGGAATTTCTCAAAGCCATACAGCTCCCTGAAAAACACAGAACAGAGAATAAGGCACGGAGCGGGCGGGAGAACGGACACAGCTACTGAAGATAGACAGAGAAAGTTTTTTTTGTCATATGCACAGAAAACAAGCAGTTTCACTGTACAATGAAATTCTGACTTTGTACATCCTCCTTTCAGCACAGAAAATAGAATAAGAATCTATATTAACATAAATACGTAACAAATAAACTAGTAAGATGTCTCTGCATTTTCAGAGGTGGAAGTGGTTGGTGTTGTTTATAGTGCAAGGTCGTTCACAAGCCTAATTGCTTGTGAGTAGAAACTGTTTAACGGTCTTGTTATCTGGGACTTCACACTTGAAGTAACAAACCTCTCCCCGTGAGGGGATCGAACCCAGGTTTCCCACAACAGGTGGGGATACTAACCACTATACCAACGAGGAAGTACTGGAAGGAAGCCTTATGACATCGCAGTTATCAGATTTGTAAATGTCCTGAGGCAGTTTAATAAGCAAACAAGTCAGAGAGCCAAACAGTTATTGTTGGGTTGCATGTGCAGTTGGGGGCTGGGGAGCAGAGACTGGTCGTTACCTATAGAGAGGCCGGGTGAACTTCTGGCGTCCTTGCTCTGTGGCCATCTTCAGACCAAGAGGCACTGCCTCCTCCCACTTGGCTCTTAAGCAAACACGGAGCCATCTAGAAAAAGCAGGAAATGCACGTAGAAACATTCCCAGCATAACTTCTGCAAGCAAAACATATTGTGACATTACACAACACAGCAAGGCATAATACTAACATACCGGACTCGTATTTCGCAGTTGTTTTTGCTATTCAGGTTGTAAACCTCCTGCATCCTTTTCACATGGGACAATGGAATAGGCTCCTAAATGGACATGAAATTTAAATAAAAATCAGAACAAATTCTATGGAACCAAGATCACCATCTCTACTGAAAACCACAATTAAAGGTCCATCAGAATACCTCCTGCAGCAGTAAGGACAGGAATTCAATTATCTGGTGAGAGGAAAATCCCTGTATATCCTCTGGGCCGAAGCTGGCCAGGTCTTCCTCTTTCACCTGGGGACAAGGAGCAGCAAGTTGTGATTGGTCAGCTAGCTAATTATAATAGCAGGAAATGCAAAAAAGGAGGGAAAGAAATTGAAATAGCCGGCTTAAACCAATACAGGCCAGTGTACTACAATCACAGTTTATGCATAGTGGGTTTAAAAGCTCCACGTATGTTTTCCACTTGTTCTTTGGCTTTTTTAATACAAAAAATGTTCTGGTGAAGGAGAATGATGAAGGGTGACTAAACCATGAGAGTCTGAAATAGCACAGAGCCTCTGTTAAAATCATTTCAGATTCTAACCAATTTAAAACAAGCAAACAGACATAAATACACAATAAAAAGCTAAACAGAGTAACATACAGACAGATGCAAGATAAATGCAAATCAGTTCCTTTGTAACTACAGGCACAGCTGGGGGTTGTGAGGGAGACACGGCACCTTGGTCCATCGCTGGCAAAGAGCAATGCAGGCATCTGCCAGGGTGCTGTCATACCTGTGTGGGGACAGAGCTGCTGTGAATGAAGCAGATCTACACAACAATCCCACAACACAGCAAGAATGCAGGCACGAGCAAGCACTACAGGTAAATTGAAATTAAAGGTTTTGCTTAAGGTGCCAGTGGTATTTCAAATGTTCTATGACCTACCGGATTTCAACCAATGATCTTTCAGACATGGAGTATAGAGCACTAGCTCTCTAACACCCGCCCCTTTGTCTTTGTCTACCATACAGTACAAAACACACCAAGTTTAACTCATTTCAAAATCCTGTTACTCAAGTAAAAGACGATGCATGGGTTTTTAAAATGAAGTTCTTTGTTTACAAGGCTACCAGCACTCCCCGTTCACGGCATTCTGGTCTGCCGATTCCATACCCCCGCTCTAAGCCGACTTACTCTGGTTTAACTGGGGGCATCCCTGGAGTGTGAAACCAGCTGTTCCAGTCCACTTTATTCAAAACATCCACCTGAGGAGGACAACACTTAATGACTACAAAAACGAAAATCTAAAGGGTATTCTAAAAATTTTAGATGTCTAGGTTATAAATGATTTTTTTTTTTTCAATTTTCTTTGGACTGCCTTTGCTATACGCTTGCATACACCATTCGGAGATACCTTGTCCTTAAAGTAGACATACAGGTAGTTCTTCCAGTCTTCGGTGATAACACTGCTGTAAGCAAACAGCTGGATGTAGGATTTAACAAACCCCATGAAAACCTCTGCAAGCAAAGACCCAGGAATGTTATTTAATAGAGAAAAGCAATGAAATTCTAAGCGCCCATTGTTTAATTCAAATACTGTAGTGTATTCATTGAAGTCATTAATAATATCACCCTCATCAATAATAAATTTTGCATGTTCTATCTAAATGTGAAGTACGGTCAGAATGAGTGAAGATGTATACAGGAGGTTACCTGGGCCACCCATTAATTCTTCCAGGTGGTAGAGCAAAGCAAAACCCTTTTCATATGGAACTGAGGAAAAGGCATCATCAGGGTCAACATCTTCCATGTTGATGACCAAGTTTGTGAAAGGGCTTTTAGCACCAAAGGTGTTTACCTGTGAGACAGGAGAATCCATTAGATGACAGACATTCACTAGCAAAACAGCCATCTGTAGTAATAATTTGGCAGATTGAGATTTAAGTGTCTTATGCAGCAGCCAAGTTAATGAATTCACTTCCCGATTTATCCATCCCAATCTATCCAAAAACTACTCTGCTAATCTTACTGCTTCCTTCAAGTCGTTCCAGCCTCCCATGGCCATGAACTGGCGGAACTGCTCGTTGTGAAGATGCCTGGCAATCATTCTCTCCAGGTACACGGTGTGGCCCTCATTCAGCCTGAGAAAAGTGTGTCAGCTCACCAGCATTGCAGTTTACACGAGAACAATCCCTAATTACTACAACCTCAGTTCATAACATTTGCAGTCCACACTTTTGATACTCCCAGAAAAATGCATTTTGCTTTATGGCAAAAGTTTCAAGTGACTAGCTATTGAATTTCAGGAAATTTCTTATGAATACCATGTCTAAAAGAATCAATGAACACATTCAGAACACATTACAATGCATTAATAAAGAATTGTAAACATGGCTATAAATATTTATAAAAAGGCATAACACATTATATCCATGTTTATTATGCATTATGAATGCATTCATAATCTCATCTATGATGCACTTCCTTCATAAATACATACCTTCATAATGCAGTACAAAGCGTCATCAATTCTACCATTATAATCCATTATGAAGGTATCTAAAGTGCACCACAGATGACAGCTTTAAGTGAAGTATCAACATTTCTATTAACTTACTCCAGTGTTTTGGATATTGCACATTTTCTATGCCATCACTTTTTTGTCCCACAAATACTCATTTTGAATTTTTCATGAATTACAGAAGTTTGTTTCCAAGCATACTAATGAGATCTACAAAATAATCACCATGTCATTTGATTTTAGACTAATGTGATTTAAGAGAGAATTTTCATGACTTCTGAAAAGCACACCAACACTTAGGTCAGGTAGTGTTCGTTGCAACATACCAGAAGTGCTCCCAAGTCCTGTTGGTAACCAAGTTTCCAGTCCAGCTGTGAGAGATTTCATGAGCTATTACCTGAGGGGGAAAAAGGTCTAAATATCAAAGATGGCTACATATTTTTCTGTATACAGACTGCTTAATTTAGTCACTTACATTAGACAGGGACTTGTCACCTGCCTGAAAGACAAGAGAGCAGTTTAAAGCAGTGTCCCTGCTGAGAAAGGCATCAGGTCCTTCTGACTGACAGGACCACACATCTGGGGAACCTGGTTAGACGTGGTGCCATGTGAACACTCACCAGTAGGGTGGGTGTGGCGAAGGTCAGACAGGGGTTCTCCATGCCTCCATAAGGGAAGGAGGGGGGGAGAACCAGGATGTTGTACTGTCCCCAAACATACGGGCCAGCCAGATTCTCAGCAGTCTTGAGCATGGACTCTGTCTGAGATGTGCAAGACATTTTAATGGCCATTTTGCACATTTATGCAAATGAAGCTGCATATTTTTACTAAAGCTATCCAGGATTTGGTTCATTGCTTCAAATCCAATATTGTCAAGAGTAAACTGATCACCAAAAGTATATATTCCAAAATGTATATACACCAAAATTTATATCATGTAAAAAACATTAGGAGGTTAAAAGTTGAATCAGTATATTTTATTTAAAAAGTGAATTGTACATTAGATATTAAATCATTTTAATGGAAATTGACTCATTCTAATATCTTAATGAAGAGCTCAAATCACATTACATTCTAGTTCAAAATTATGCAGGGATTTAAAGTTCTATAGGGTTCAAACTTTCTCACCATTGTATATAGTAAAGCAGTTTAGAGATTTTAAATCTGCAAAAATCGATGAGTAAATATTTTTATTTTGTATCACTACACTGAATGAAGTTTTCAAAGTAATACAATAAAACCGTTTTTGTGATTCATTTTACATAATCAGAATAGTAATATCTATCAAGACTCCTAAAACATTTACCTCTGTGAACTCAAATGCGGCGAGATCCACCATTTCCTTCTCAGACCACACTGAAGACCTTGGTCCGATCTGTCTGTCAGACATATTACCTTTCAAGAGCAATACTAAAAAAAACCTGTTTACATTACAAACTTGGAAGGTCAAATTTTCAGATGGAAATTCTTACACATTCAGTACACAGCTAATAGTCATCAAGGCAGAATGAAGTTGAGGTATGTACCTGCTCTCTAGTGCCCCCACCACAACGGCGATCAGATACGATGGCATGGGGACCTGCAGATTTTGGGAGGATGGGGGAGGGGGGGGAGGACCACCAATTATTGGCTCAGCTGGAAAACACACCTTGCTGCAGTCACAGCTTTCAGTAAAGTTGTATCAATATTGGAATTGATCGATTTATCGCAATTCAGTTTGTGACAATTTTTCATTGATATTTTGAACCTTTGCATCACTTTATGAATTTGCTGCAGTACCGTTTTACTCCGGCACTAGAATTGAATGTTTTACTTCACTTCCCCCCCCCACCCCCCAACATTTTCTGATTAAAAATATGCTGTTTGTGTAGCCTGTGTTAAGTGCACTGCAAAGTAAAAATGCAGTATAGTGTCTATTGCTGAAATGCTAAGGTACAAGTAAAGTCTATCATTCTGCAACAACTCATCAAATTTGCCTCAAATTTGGCTTGTTTAAAATTTAAGTAGTTCTGTTATTTCAATATTGGAATGTTAACCATCCGGATACAATGGCAATACCAAGATGCATCGTGGTGTATTCAGTCATTATACTGGCATCGTAATGAGTATTATAACATGGGCTTGTTGGCAAACCCCAGCCCTAATATTCAACCTCAACAGTCTTCATAGATACATATAAATGTAGGTGGCTGTGGAGACAGAAGAATCTCATGTTTTGTTTGCCTATTACTGTTAATATAATATCATGCAAATAAAACATCAATGTTGTATTTTAATGGTCTCACCTGGCATGCCAAGAGGCACAATTACTGAAAACAAAACCCTGCCCAAAAAAAAACTCAAACTAGATTCTTGTCATCTTTATTTTCTCCAAGCAGATGACTAGAAGAAAAAAAGGAAAGAGGAGACAAACTGACCGTCTGCCTGAAGCGGTAGATAGTTCGGCTGCTGTCTTGGGGATCCACTTCCTGCCCGTCAGGCACCGCGCTCATAAGAGCCACCAGGTCCCTGGGAACAGACACCTGTACACGTACACACACACACACACACACACACACGTACACACACACGTACACACACACACACTTTATGACATTGCTAGTTAGTGTTCTTTACACCTAGCTTACCGGGCAAGAAGGCTAATATTATATGCATTTTTTCCCCCAAGGAATTTCATCAGTGCTGACTGGCAAGGTACAAGGAAAAAAAAGGCAAACTATGTGTGACTTTTTCCCTTAACATCACTGCACCAACACTGTCTTAAAACAAAATATCACACCCTGTACTACACCCACTTTCGCTAGATGCTGCGAAGATGACGCAATTTTTTTGCACTAGTGTGACTTTATCAGTTTCTGCAGCTACAATCACTGGCTCCTTTTTCAATACTGTTCCATCTACCTATTGGTCCTCTTTAAGCTTGGCTAAGACAAGCTTACTGATTGGCCTCAGTATATCAGTCAGAAGTCCACTAATCCGTGGGCTAAGCCTGTGTGCCTGTAATCACAAGGCCGCCGGTTCAAACCCAGCCTCAGCACGGGTACTTGAGCAAGTCCCTTAACCGCTGCTATGGGTGACAGCCCTTCACGGACAACTTACTCCACAAAGAGCAAGTTGAGGAAAGCATAAAGACAATTTCCCAAACAGGGAATAATAAAGTATCGATTAGAAGGCTATTCATGCGACAAACAAATTGCATGTACAGGATCCCTGTTTAGTTAATCATATTCTCCATCCTCACCTACTACGTTCTCCCATCCTTTATATCAACTTTCCCCCATCCCCTTCTGTACCGTGGTGCCCTTGCCCTCACGTCCCCAGTTGCCAAGTGGTTAAAAGGGTTTCTAGATATGAAAACTGCAGCGATGGTAAGAATTGAAAATTTTATACTTAGCTCCCACCTAGAGCTGGGCGATAAATCGATGTAATCGATTAATTCGAATTTACAGTTCAGGACGATGTGTTTTCATGAAAATCGATTTTATTACTTTTTTTTTTTACACACGAGCGCCAAAAGCGGAACTAATGCGACGCACCATTCTTCACGGGTAAATTAGCGCGGCGCACCCAAACACTGTAGCAGATTCACTAACATGGCAATGACAGGGGAAAAGCTGGCGCTTGTGCCCAAGAAAGGTGTTGCCACATTTGTAATATGGAATTGGTTCGGTTTTGCGAGGTCGGACACAGGCCAAACAAGTCCTCGTTGCAAAGACTTTAAAAACTGTTGCAACCAAAGGAAGCAGCGCGACTAATTTATTCCAGCATGTAAAGCAGAGGCACGCAGCGGAGTGGGAGAAGTGCCGCTCCCAGCGAAATGAAAATAGCCGCAGCACCAGCACAACAAACAAAGTAACCGTCCCTGACACATTTTCGAACTATGTGCCATATGATAAGAATTGGGCACGATGGAAGGCAATAGCAAACGCTGTCGCGATGTATAGTGCAAAAGACATGGTGCCCATACATAGTGTGGAAAAGCTGGGATTTATTAACATGCTAAAAGTTTTAGACCCGAAGTACGTGCCTCATTTTTCTTAACACTGGCAATTTTAATGGCATAAAGTATTTACTTAATACCAAGCTGACATAAAATTGTGTGGTTTTTTTTCTATTATTATTACAATATTACTTATTAGTTTTATTTATAAGTTTGAGGGCGTATTGTGTTGTTGCCAGTTTGAAAATAAGCTATAGAGAAAGCTTTCTAAAAGTTTTTACAAGTTTCTAAAAGTGTTTACAATGGCGTGGTCTGCCATCTCACTTACAAGCATCTTTTATGGCTTGTCAGATTGCACTTTAACCCTAAAGTAAAAAAAGCTAAATAAAGTTAAAACTTGTTTTGAACCATTTTTGTCATCTGTAGTTTGATTTTGTGTAGGGGAGGGGAAAATCGATTAAAATCGGAAATCGGATTTTGTGTGAAAAAATCGGAGATTTTATTTTTAGGCCATATCGCCCAGCTCTACTCCCACCAAGGACGGTTACGCAGCTGCATTATGAATTATTATTTGAATTGACACATTACGTTAAAGTCCTTTTGAAACCAATCACCAAGCAGATGGACTGGGAGGCTTATGCAGACAGATGTTACAGGTGTTGGAGGAGACAGGCGAGCTTACCTGGGCATAGTAGGTGTGCTTCACCGATGGGGTGTCTTGGCAGGGCACCATGCTCCTGCAGTGAATGGCCTAAAGTGCACCATTCCGAGCCCCACCCAAAAACGAACAAAATAACATCAATAGGAAATGGAGCAAGATAAATACAATGCCAAGAAAAAAAAAAAGCCAGCATGGAAAATTAAAGAACCATGACAGGAATGATAAACACCAGAGACATGTTCCAGTAAAGATACTGCCAATTCAGGCTTCTGTGATTAAAGGTGCAGATAATACCAGGGGTGCCTTTACCCTGTTTTATTAGGGCTAACCAGCACAATCAGCAGAAGCAAAGAGCAGACATAAAAACTGGAATTATAATTTCAGGTGTCAGCATAACGGAAGAACACAACCAACTTTTGCATCACTCTCTACATAGGTCTACTTCCCCCTATATATAAACATTTAAAACATATTAACACATAAAACTTCAAAAGACTAACTTTAGGCAGTCCTACTCTTACCAGCAGAAACTTTTCTTCCCTCAAAAGAACTGAAACTGTTTCCAAGAAACATGCCTAGAAACTTCTGTGCAATTCTGAGAAAAAAAACCAAGCACAATGGCAGGAATTCCAGCCAAAAAGGCAATACTGCATGCAGGCATGCCCTGACTGAATGGGAGATATTTACCTGGCACTGGCTGAAGAGGTAGGGATGCTTCTTCCCAGCAGTCTGTTCAGGAGTGAGCCACTGAAGGGCTGAGGCTTTGGGGGATGTTTCGAAGGTCACCTCCACAATCACATGTTGACCCCTGTGGGAATAACACCCAAAGCCTTACCTCAAGTGATTCCAGGAAAATGCTACCCAACAAATGTACCTTCACACACTTTACAAGTATGCCTGAGAATGTAATCAGCTTAAATACATTGAGATAGGCCTAATAGAGGCCTGATTTATTTTTATTTCATATTTATACATTTCATTATCAGGTCTTGAGGTAGTACAGTATAATTTTCATAGACTGTAGAATGTCAGTAGCATCTTGAAAAGAATCGGTTTGATGTTGTTGGTTGTTTCTTAACAGTCACCAATTGCAACCCACAGAACACTTACCGGGAGAGGTCAAAGGGCAGTGTGATTTCCAGAGGAGCTCCCTTAAAGCTGTGTGATGCGCCAACAGTAAACTTAGCTTCCTGTCCATTGGCTGTCACCTTAAAAATCTTCAGGTCCTTTGTATCAAGAATCTGTTGGGGGGGTGGGGGGGGGAATGTTCCAAGCAGAAAACATAAAAGTTTTCACTACCCATTTTTAATGTAGCCCTATGACCCAGATTACACCATGAAATGATTTCATTATTCCACACATTTAGCCTACTGATATGCATAAATTCTCCATTGGAAGTATAAAGACCCAGAAAATGGCCATTTAAGTATTTGCCAGCAATCGACATCAGCTTGGTGGCACCTAATAGTAATAATTATATAACAGAATTTTGCATGAACTTGTCCTATCCATCCTCCTAAGGCAAGCAACAATATTATTATGAAGCCTGTTGAGCTGGCCTGTAGCCTAACCATAAATTTTGCGGGTTGGATGGCAGGGGATCAGTAACCTTACCGATAGGTTGGCAGTGAGAGGATGGGGCGGGAGCAATTCAGGGGTAATAAACCTATACTTTTACTACCTGGCTACATGCCTGCTGTTGAGCAAAGCACCAGACGATTTCATCTGCCATCCACCATTTTAGCAGCACGCCACTTACTGTACGTATACGGCATATAGGAGAACAATCTTATTTGCATCATTATTTCTTAGACTTTTCAGATTTTTTTTTAATACAAACTGTGTGGTTCCCTACATTTCATGGCTGTTGGAATATAGCATGTAGCAATCGCGAGTGGAAAACCATGAAACGTGAAGTTCTACTTTTCAGTGACTGACTATAGCATTCATCATTTAAATCTACTACAGGCAAAAAGAAATACAGTGACCAAACTATATATACAGCTAAACAGACCAGTAGAAACCTTTCTGCAGACCAATAGACCTTTCTTCCAAATTTCACTTATTTCGAACGAATACTACGCAAGGATCGAAGAGGAAATCCAGGTGTGCAGCAAAGATTGCCTGTAACTTTATGAAACTATGATCAATAGCTAATCTAGAAATATTCCAAGTCCATTATCAGCCATGAAAATATGTAGGATTTTATTTAAATTTGCGGTATCTATGTTCCCCTTTCTAGAAGTTTATGGTTTGTCTCTTGGAGGCAGTATCTTTTCACCAGTCATCACATCTTACAACCTTTAAACTGTCCTATCCATCACTCTGCTTAATAATCACCACGATCATTAAAAGGAAAGCGATAAGACTACGCACGTATGCTTCATAAAACCACCAATAAACTAATACTTGCATGTCTTTACTGCATTTCGATATTTCGGCCAAACAGAGGAGCGATTGTGGAGAGCAATCTACCAGTTAATCGAGGTCAACTTCGCCAAAATTTATGGGGAAAAAATCCACCATTTATAACAAATAAAACTATTATGTATTGTTTCACTTCTGAAAGCAGAAGTAGCGCGTTATATGTGCGTTTAAGAATTATGTACATGTTGTGGGGACTTGTTTTTAAGACTGTCACTAAATTTAAATCGGCACTGTTTTTCTGGTCCACGTCCTTATTGGTTATGTACGTCAAAGAAGACGAAAACGAACCTCAAAATTTCAATGATCCGTACGTATACACGCGGTGCTCTTCTATAAGCGCAGAATAGCAATGATTTTTAAAATTCGTGAAAAGTTATACTTAAATATATATTGCATATAATTTTACATTTCTTTTTAAAACAACTTGACACAAAGAAGAAGGAAACCGGCACATTTCATTAAATGAAATCCTAAAGTAAAGTCGCTAAGCCTCCGTTTTGATTCACTGAACGTGGTAGCCAGCTAATCGGTACAACAGATTGCATTAAATGCAATTCAGTCTTTCATAAAAAATGTAGCTCATGACCGATATGTGCAAGTGAATATATTGCATATATAGGAATAAATACCGTATTCGATAAGTCAATACTAAAGAACATTACGGAGACACAATTGATTAGCTTTGAGTACTGTACCAGGGTGGAAAATTTATCTTCCAGAGCTTCAATGGTGAGAGCAACCTTCCCTTTTAGAACCTGACTGTCAAAATCGACACTGTATTTCAGGTTCAAGTGCTTGGTAATGCACTTCAAAAAAGACGAGAACGAAGACGCGTCCGCAACAGTAGCCATGGTCCTCAGTGTGCTGACACATGACAGAAACCTCTTTTAAAGGAATTCTTTACGCTATACTGACGTTAGTGTTGCATTGTGGGATTTGTCGTTTGTACTCAACGAGGCGATGACAGATGACAAAAACCTTATATCTATAGTTTATTTGTAACGGTACACTCTTATATGGCATACCGAAACCTATTTTGGGATAAATTTTTGTTACTCTTTTAATAAAAAAAAGAACTTAGGGCTTTGTAATAGCATAGATTTTTCTTTGAAATCGGACTTCACCGTTGCATACAGTACCTACTATAGTTTTTAGTTGTTAGTAAACGTTGGTTTAGTCTAACTGGGATCTCTAAATTGCCCACAGTGTGTTATTTTATGGCATACAATATGATTTGAAATACTCAAAATACAATGTGCAACAAGGACAAAGACACTATAAACAGTGTAACAATATACAATGTAGAGCCATGGGATACTGGGGTACTTTCTGTACACATAATTAAATATAAACAAGTGTCAGAGAGCTAACTATAGCAGTATGCTGGATATCAATCATTGCACACAAGGAAAATATGGCAACACTATGGTCCTAACACCTTTGACTTTATACCATGTAAATGAGATGAAATGTGACCATTTCATAATAATATAATAATAATAATAGTGGTAATAGACAGTAGGTAAAGTGCCATTGAGATTAAAATAATAAGATGCGGTAAATTTGCAAGCCCTCGCAAATATTGCGTCCTTAGTTTTGTTACGCGTTAACTTGCTGCGATCACAGGATAGCGAAGTATTGGAAGGACCGGTTATGGTTCAGCATGCTTTCATCTGGACAAGCGATTCGGAAAGGACAGAAACCGGGAGCGGTGCCCCCTACAGCACGCCGATGGAAATTCTGCGTATGCGAAAAAGCAAACGGAAAGCGCGGTTTCCCTGGCAACAAACGTCAGACGTACGTACTACGTAACGCACGCGGGAAAAAACAAAGACAGCCGGGACTCTGGTCTTGAAAAATATTTCCCTAAGATGCAAACACCGAAATAGTTTAGGATATAGCTGGATGCATTTTTAATTAATAAGTTGTAAGTAATACAGAGATTATACCTAACGTTTATATTTTAAAGGTAAGGCCTTTGCACTTTATTGGATGTAGTTTCCGTTGATTTTCGGTTTTTGTAAGCTACCGAATACTGTCCGTTAGTGTGTTCATAAATGTTATTGTAATATTTTCATAATATGTATGCTTGATATTGCTGGTAGAAGTATTTGTGCAGGATATAGCAACTGCTGGGCTTTGGAAAAGGGACTGCAGAGGTTCATTTACCAGTTTAAAGTAGCAGACAGTTTACAGTGAGGGCAGAAAAGCTGTACATTAAACCTTTAAACTGGAATAAGAAATCTACGAACCAAATTATAATTCTAAGAGGCCGAAACCGCGTCTACATTTAGAAATAAAAATGTAAATGTAACAAAGTGAGATTGCAATCGATTATGACAGGTAGAAATGTCATATTAACTGTTATCTTTTCCTGCTGTCACTGAGTTTTCAGTAGGTAAGTGAGAAATGATGGACACAGCAGAAACTCGATTCGCCCACTTGCTACAGCCCATCAGAGACCTCACTAAAAACTGGGAGGTGGACGTGGCGTCTCAGCTGGGGGAGTACCTTGACGAGGTGATCGTTTTGACAGTTTAATGAACATGTACTAGCTGCTTGTATGTGGTGCAGTTCTACTAACATAACAACTGCCAACCTTAACACATTACAGTTAATCTAAGAGCACTCTACAACCTGCAGATCTGAATGTATCCACAGTACATTAATAGAGTATTTTAGTCATATTTCTCAGATAAAATAGTATAAATTAATATTAATATCCTATTTAGTTTATTTTCTCTTAGTTTAAAGTTTAGGGAAAAAACATGTTAGAAAGTGTCTTGTGATATATGAGTAAATACCATTTTTTCTTGTTGAGTTATGTTGTCAGTGTAATGACCATAAAAAGCAATTGTTTAATGAACATGTCACAGTCTCTCATCTTATTTCACAGTTGGATCAGATTTGTATTTCATTTGATGAAGGGAAAACCACCATGAACTTTGCCGAGGCAGCACTGCTGATTCAGGGATCTGCTTGTATTTACAGTAAGAAGGTGTGTAATACATTTCAAAGAGGTTGCATTTTAACTTCCATAATCATAATGTTACTGGTGTTGTTCTTAATTTAATCCTATAGACAGTTTCCAGAGTGTATGTGTCATAGCTACACAAAACAAAAATATCTAGTAAAATTGCAATTCTGCATGATACTGTGTTGTAAAAACAACTGGATTGTTCACAGATGCAAAATGAAATGTGAATGTTTTGACTGATTTTTGTGTTCATCCATGTCATGGTAACCTGAGAGTAAATATCAATCCTGTCGTTATCCTTGTTGGCGAGAGTAGATATGAGACTGAAGATTATCTTTTTTTTGTTGTTGTTTTCTTTTAGGTGGAATACCTTTATTCTTTGGTGTATCAGGCTCTGGACCTAATCTCAAACAAAAAGTAATTTTAAATAATTGTTCTTTATATATTAATCGTTAAATAAGCATGAGAGCAGTGACAGGTATCTATAAGAGTATATGAGTGGTTCGGTTTTTTTAACATCTGATTTTGTGTTAATATATACTATAATTTTGTGGTAATATAAGCGATAATATGGTTTGGTTTTTCTCCCCACACAGACGCGACAAGCAGGCAATTACTGTTGGACAAGATGGTACAGACAGTGATGTCACATTTGCAAACAAAGACAAGATGGAGGTAAGGATGAAATAGAGGATTGCTTTGGCTTGGAAGACACAGGTCCAAATTCAGTTACAATAAAAAAGAGTAAATAACGGCAGGTTTTTTGACTATTGGGAAGTATAACAAACTGTGATTGATGACTTTAAATTGATTTGTTTAAAAAATTACAATAAATATATACTTTGTCTTTTACAACATATCGAATTCCTTCACAAAGGAAAATATATATTAGCTATAAATCCTTGGTACTTCACTCATATTTCACAGTCATGCTGACTCAACTGCCCGTGGATTTAATAGTACTTTAATGCAGCATCTAATGTAATAGTTTAGATTTTTTCTCCCTCTTTAGTCAACTGACTGACATCTTCAAATTACTTTTGTTCTTCAAATTTAACTTTTATTTCTCCTTCCAGTTTTTGACCCTAGATGACATCAGTGAGAAGAATTCACCAGCTGTTGACATGAGAAAAGATATCGCTGATGTATGTTTAATTTAGAGCTGTTCATGTCCAGTCCTTACAAACTTCTCTCTTTATTGACAAGAGTATGAGTTAACTGTTTTTTTCCCCTCTTCTCACTTGGTCACACTATTAGGGTATGGAGATTGTTGCCCTCACACCAGAACCTCTGATACCGGCTGAAGAGCAGGAGAAGAAGAAAAACCCTCTTTACAGGTATTTCTACCAAACCAGTAACTTGAGCTGCTGTGAAATGAAACTGCTTTGTGCCTTAAGAAGAAGTTTGGAATGAGTGAGTCCACCTTTGTAAAAAGTCAATGGTGCAGCCATGACTTGCAACCTATGACTTACTTTTTGTTTGTCACTCAGCCGTCATGGGGAGTTGCTTGCCAGCTGCAGGGACTTCCGCATGAACAATTGTACACCCCATGCCAGTGGGATCATCCGGCTGGACCCAGCTGTTTCACCATCACATTTCTTAAAGGGAAAGACACAGTGGAATTCTGGTGGGTCAGGCATAAATTCCAACTCTTGGGTTTTCAGCCATGCATCAAGTTTTGATTGGATGCTGTGGAAGTGTGTTACTTAGCATGCTTTTGTAGAAACCGCTATAATTGAAAATGTCAGTCATTCTTAGGCAGAATGAAGCACATTATTTTGCATTCCGGTGCTCAGATGGAAGCTGTGGAGCTGCCCCTGATGGCAGTGATGATGACGCCCCATTACCAGTCCTTAACCTATCTACAGCACCAGATGAGGAACCTGCACAGCTCCCTTATGGTGAATTTTCAACATGGAGCTTTAACAAAGTGGTTCCTTGTTGGCAAAGACTGGTCAATCTGACTGTTGTGTACATATAGTGCTGTATTATCACAGGGAAATGTCTTTATGCATTTTGTGTTATATGCACAGAGGACAATAATGATGCCGATGTCTTCTTACCTCTGGGTGACTGTGGGATAGAGGTGGACCAGCCTCCCAGCCCACATGTGGATAGACATCAGGTACTTTTCATGGTGTGTGTGTGGGAGGGTTGTCCTACCATGTAAGAACATTATTTTTTGTTTTGGAAGCTCGGAATCAGGGATTATTTGTCTTTAGAAAGAGCTATATGGGAAGTTCGTATGCACATAGGTCTGTATGTCTCTTTTACTGTTTCCTCAGGCTCCCAAAGAGAAGCGAATGCTAAGGGAAAGACCAGCTACTCAACACCCCCCAGAGCAGCAGAAGGTATCAAAACAAGGTTTCACGGTTCAAAAAGGGATTCCGCTATTATTACACTGTATGTTGTCCTATTTATTTATGAGTATATCCTCTGTTCTAGGAACTCCCAGATCTGTGGCAATGGCTGGACCCTTTCTCTACCTCAGAGGAGAAACCTCTTAAAACGGGTAAGAACTTGCCTTCATATTCCTGTCAGGCAGCAGTAGTGTCTGAGATTAATGACTGATATATATATATATATATTTTTTTTGTTAATCAGTTTTTAGTAATTTAAATGTAGTTGTAAATGTAGTGTTACATCACATTCATATATTAACCTTTGACTTGTCTGATATTTATTGTGTAAAATTGAAAGGATTTTTATTGGTGAATATCATAGTTGTGTTTTGGTCATGGCCTTTCACAGTGTGTAGACCGATAAGTGGATGTTTTAAATTCTTAGGGAAACACTTCACCATTCCACGGGGTGTGCAGGATGTGTCTGGAAACAAACGGAAGAGAAAAGGAACTTCCAAAATTCAGGATTTCATGAGCTGGTTCAATGGCACATGTGAGTGTATATTATGTGCAGTGTTTCATATCACGTGCATAGAATTCAGATTACTTGGGGAACCTGTTGGGGCCATAAGGTCATCGTGCCTTAGGAAAGACGAATGAACTGTTTATGTCCAGCTGGAGTAATACTTTACTAAGAACTTATGAGGTTTGTTTTTCTTACTGTAGCATCTGAAGCATCTCACCATAAACCAAAGAAGGGGCCTACCTTTGCAGGTAACTGAAGTTTTCCTTTTAAATGGTTAAATAGTATCTGTATTTTAAAGCAATCTGTAGTTAATTAAAAATCCATACACCCATTCTTTCAGCAGTATTATTATTATACAAACTAATGAAATTACACGGTTTATTACTCGTTTTATTTAGACAATGAATTTTATCATGACTTGAACTGTCAATGGATGCTTTTGTTTCTCAGACCTGTTGGATATTTACTGGAGTCACATGAAGGAAAGACAGAAGATGCAGAAGACTTTCCAGAGAAAAGCGGTACATGCCATTTATGTTTAATACTCAAGTACATGCTATATTATACTCTGAACAAACTTTGCTTTTATTGGCTCTTTCATGGCCAATGAGATGATCTCTGCTGATAATATTTCAGGGTTTAATGTCTTTACCTAATGAGCTGGAGCTGGAGGATGCTGAGAGGCAGGCTGAAGAGCTGGAGGCTCAGCATGAGGCTGTCCTGGACCAGGATGCCGGGGGTAGGTTTGAGGGGGAGATGGTTTGACTCATCCTGCTACACCTTTGTTTGAATAGCTATAAATATCTGAAATAAAGTCCTTCATACTTAAAAGAATGAAGAACTGCACTTGGAAGCAGGATTATTGACTCGGAAGGAAGTTCAATAGGGAATCAATGCTGAGTGACAACCTGACCTTTTCACAGATGATTTCTCTGACCATGAGAACTATTTAGATGAGGAGCAGCCAGCAGTCTTGGAGGAGCAGAACCTGCCCATAACAGGTACTGAAAAGTCAGCCACTGAACACACAATGGTGATTCACTGTCTGGGAGTCCCTGAGAACTGGCTTGGGAAACTCTGGTTTGTTAGTAGTGTATGATAGTGTGTGTTTGTGTGTGTGTGTGTGTGTGTGTGTGTGTGTGTTACTGGCTGCGATTGTAATATGTTGCTTGTGCTTTGTCAGCTTCCCAAACGGAGAAGATGAACTATGAGGACCTGGTCAAGAGGAATGTGGTGCGTCAGGCAGCAGTAGTGTCTGAGATTAATGACTGATATATTATTATTTTTTTTTAGTTAATCAGTTTTTAGTAATTTAAATGTAGTTGTAAATGTAGTGTTACATCACATTCATATATTAACCTTTGACTTGTCTGATATTCACATCCCTAATTTGGGGAAGGATAGGTCCTGTGTTTATGTAAGTTGCAATTTCAATTTCAATCTGACCGACTCATGTGACTTTACAGGAGCTCTTCCTCGTGAACTCTCAAAAGTATGCCCAGGAGACTGTTTTGTCACGACGTGTGAAGGACTGGGAAGAGAAGATAGGCCCTCAGCTGGCTGAAGAGGTAGAGCACATGTCATATTTCACATAGTGTTTAAGGAAAACATGTATCTTCAAACAACTATGGTTATTGTAATTTAAGATCTATATAAGATGCAATTTAAAATGTTAAAGGCCAGTGTAAAAGGGATTTTTTTGTGTCACTTTCAAGAGGAAATTATGATAAATAAAATGTGCTTTTTGTTTCTTTTTTAATTTTACAAAAACTAGCTGCAAATGACAGTAGTGAGAACTACATTTCAGGAGTTGTGCCTGTGTATTTGACATTGTTATTTTAAAATGATGAAACATGCAAATGACCACATAATTAAACATTAGACATTCAAATAGTCCAGATTGTAGCTCTGCAGATAATCTTCACCGTGCACTTCCTATTCACCTCAGGAGGAGAGGCTGCCTTTTGACATCCACAGCTACGGGAACAATGTGGTGTCCATATTCAGAGACATTGGCCAGAGATTGTCGTTCGCCTCTTTGGTACAAGGAAAGGATAATCATGAAGTGTGTCGTTACATGCTAGCTTCATTGCAGCTGGTAAGTTTGAAAGAAAAACAAACATAAAAAACATCTAAACACCTGTCACTTAACTGTGTCAATGCAGCCTAGCTTCTTTGACAGGATGTAACTCTTACATATAATATCAGAATCAGTTGTCAAGGTGTCATGTCTTTATATTTAATGGGTAGAGTTATAAAGTTAAGAGTTTTTTTTTTTTGTAGGTCTGGGTGGTGTAACGAATTTTGATGGTATACTGATGTATTTGCAGTTAAGATGTAAGATGAGATAATACTGTTTAAATTGATATATTTCAATTGTGTGTTAAAATATGAGCGAATATTTTTAATAGAGACCTGTAATATTTCTTCTTGGCTTTAAACATCACAAGAATTTGTTCGTGAAGTTGCACTGAATCCCAGAATTCACATCTAAAATGAAAACATTTTTAATTTTTGCACAGGTCCCTTCAGGGGCTCTGTAGTTTATAGGCATAATTTATTTTGTCTTTTTTTTTTAGACTTCTGTTTGGAATAAAGAACTTGTCCATACTGAGAAGTTGTAGTTATATATTTGCAATCTGAATTTTTTTTTTTTATCACACCTTGAATTTTTAGCCTACTGCATAGAAAATACAGAGAGAAACTGTATATCAAGGTGTGCATTTTGCTTTTTTGAGAGTAATGTCAGGAATGTGCTTTCTCCAGTTGATATTTAGTTTTTTTATATTCCCTATGTTTTTAATGACGACAAGCTATTTTGTTTCATTTCATTGGACAGCCTGCTTAGTGGGTGCATGTACTCGGTTCACTGTGGAAGCCATGCCTTGCACTGTGGTCCTTGCTCCAATGCAGAGCTTTCCTTCACTTGCTGTGGCATTTTGTCTGGCAGGCGAACGACTACACCGTAGAGATTGAGCAGGATGAAGGTCTGGAAGAGGCTCTTGACACCATGACGCTAACTCTACTCAGCAAGCACAGAGCCCACGAGCGTTTCCAGACCTACACGGCCCCTTCCATTACCAATTTGCAGTGAGCTCATTCTCGCTCATTCTCTAAATCTAAGTATCTGCTACTGTCGCTGATTCTCACTCAGATACATTCACTCTCAATGGATTCATTTAAGCACGCTAAATAATTCTTGATTAAAAACATATTGGATGTCATGTACATATTGCAGTAGGAAGTAAATATGAATTGTGTACAAAATATTGTTTTGTTGACTGGAACATTTGACTGCCCAACTCTTGTCTTAGGTACTCTTACCATGTTTTTACACCACAGTAGTAACATTAACACAGACTGGCAGACTGCTGACTCCAAAAGAGCAACGATATTCTCAGATCAGTGCCACTCAACTATGACCATGATGAGTTTTAAGTGCAACCAGTCTGTCAGACTGTGTTAACGTTTTTGATTTTGTATAAAAACAGGGTAATTGAACCAGTTCCAATAAAGCCACAATTTAAAATTGTACAATAAGTGGTTTCAACTTGTACTTTTGAATAGCAGTATAATTATATATTTAATAGTTATCCCTCTGCTTCTGCTTTTTTCTTTTTTTCCCCTAAATAACTATTTAAGGATTAAAAATCAGAACAGAAATTGAGTTTTATATATTGTGGAGCTCATGAATAATGAGATGTATTTTTATATATAAAAAACTGGAATATGAAAAGGTCCCAAACTACAAATTTATTTAGATTCCCTACTGAATTAGTTGTGGAGGATGTGTATTTCATCCCATAGTGCCCAAAGGAGGCATTACATTCACCGTAACTACATGACAGCCTGTTTATTGGAAATGTACGGTCTCCTCATGTCTTTTTTTTTTTTTTTTAAACTATTGTACAGTAATATGATATTGTACAGTAAGGATGCAATTCTGATGTGCTTCTGGTTCTTTTTCTATCAGTAAGTCAACTATTTAGAAAAATAAAGTTTTTGAAAAATGAATACATTACGTCCATTCGAGAATGTGTGTTTTTTTTTTTTGGGAACGGCATCTTCTGATTTTATAAAACCACTTTGCATGAGTGGTAAAAGATCAACAATGTTATTTTTTGCAGGCCCACTAGGGGGAGAAAGTACCATAGAAATGAAATTCAGTCATTCAATCAACTGTGTAACGAAGCGTAATTGTATTTTACTTGTGGGGAATACATGTGTCAATGCAGACACTTTTTCATTAAGATAACTCAAAAAGTATTTCACAGAACTTTTTCAGACTTTGTAGTGGTATGTTGGACTACTCTGCAGATTACATAGCCTCATTAATAGTCTCAGTACTAGATTCTGAAAAAAACAAGATTTTCTTGTGAAACTCAACATCCCTTTCAGAATAGTGATCATCTGGAACTCATTTAAATTTTGAGACAGATCACCCCAAAATTACAGCAGCACTGCATTGAGATATCAGAGAAAAGAGCAGTTTTGACACTTGATCTTGTTTGGCAATAACCAAAAAAGTATTTGACAGATTGTTTTCTAATTTGTAGACCATTATATGGTTGAGGAAATAGAAATGATCATATATAAGACAACTTGCCCAAAAATTAAAGCATTTCTGCTTATTAGTAACAAATGAAAGGTGAAAGCACATGACATTTCACCTTGTGAAGTCAAAAAGTATTTTTCATTACTGGTGTTTTAATGGTAAAGTGGGCCAAGTCTTCCATTCATAAGTGCTTAGACACTTAGGACTGGAAGTCTGTTGATACAATTGCCAACTGAACAAACATTGTTGCCTTGCAACCCCAGATGTCTCTTAGCTTAGCAGACAGCAGCCATTAAAATAGTATGTCAGCCCCCAATATAACTAAAGTTGTCAAAGGTTTGTGGGATGTTCTAGGCTGGTTTCTGAATTATGGATTAGTTAAAAATCTTGTTTTTTTTTGTTTCTGATAGATAACCAGCTGCTTTTGGCTCAGGTTAAAAAAAAAACCGCTAATCCTTTTTCATTTGATGTTCCGCAGAGTATTTCTCCATGCCATGCCCTAGAGGGAAAGCTGGATTGCCTCCTCCAGTATTTTTTTCTTTCAGAATAGGGTTGTCCTCTGCCCAAAAATAGTCATCCTTGGTCTGCTGTATCTTTTGTATTAATGGCCTTGCTTAACAGCTGATCTTTTATTATGAACCACTTGCTTTGTCTAACATCCTGTAGACAAATTTGTTGCTGTACACTTACTTTGACTTTTTGTTGTAGTTTACATTTACAGCATTTAGCAGACGCTCTTATCCAGAGCAACTTCCATTTCCCAAATTCAGGGACAGTCCCCCTGGAGCAAGTTGGGGTTAAGGGTCTTGCTCAGGGACCCAATGATGGTAGTGCTAGAGGTGGGACTCAAATGATCTTTTGGTCCAGAGGCAAGGATCCTAACCACTAGACCAGCAGTTGACATAATTACAAACATGCCCCTTACTTGCACAAAATGTTACATTTCTTATCAATAAAGTTACATATACAATTTATTCAGTAATTACCTGTCTTCAATGCCAGGTGATTGATCAAGAAGTGACACCAGTTTTGCATTCTGTCAAGGAAATGTGCTTTAAGTTATTTGTTCAGGTAAAAGAAGCTTTACAGATGGACCTTGCCCTCACTTGCTCACTGTAAGAAAAAAGATGCCCACATTGATGAAGATGGACAAAATGGGCTTTCACTGTGAGTGAAGTTGCTGTGACCATTGTCAGGAGAATGTTCTTTACCACAGTCAGTAACATTGTTACTGTCATCTTTTTTTGTAGTGATTTGTGCACAATCCACTTTTATTTTTTCACTTTTAATGATCGAGTTGAGTTGTACTGTTCTGCCAGCTTAGCTATAGTTATCCAGTAAACAACATTTCAGTGTGTGAATTCTCAAAGACACTACCAGCAGTTTTTCTAAGAGTACAAAGTACCGCGAGTAACAAAATCATGCCATTGTTCCATGTTGCAAAAATACATTAAGTAGTATTATTACAAGATTCTGAAAGAACCAAGATATATTAATGAAATTCCACATCCCTTTCAGAATAGTGATGCTTCATTAATTTCCATGGGGAAATTCTCTTTTTGCCTGCCCCATCTCGCTCTCCATGAGACGCACAAACAGCAGCATCCCTAGAGTTGGGGATTAAGGGCCTTGCTCAAGGGGCCCCCGATTCTGCTGACGCTTGAACTGGCAGCCTTCTGATCACAGCCACAGAGGTTTAACACACTGAGTCACACACCACCCTCTTACAAAAGTGAAGCTGCTGCCAGCACTTAACTGATACTATACTTCAGAATGACTTGAGTAAAGATGTATTTGTAAAGTGACGTGGTCATTCGCAGTTAGATGCAAAGTGTTTTTTTTTTCTATTCTCTTTTACCCTAGCTGCTCTGTGGGGTGCATCAACAGAGCAGGTTGGGATAGTTTTTTCTGGTCCTGAAAGAAGAATGTAACATTTTACTTTATTAGTGTTTGAACTAATAAACACTGCTAAATCGTCGTCGTCAAATGAAAGATTTTAACTGGATTGTAGAGTTGGACACGAAAAAGGAGAAGTCAGTATCTAACCTGTTGGAGCAGTGTAGAGCAGTGTAGAGCGGTGTTACCATGCACCTCCTGGATCCTCATCAATACATTGTTTTTGTGACTCCTGTTTTTTTTTAAAACTTGTACCTTTCCTGTAAATTAAAGAGCTTCTGTTCATTTCACAGTTTTTTCAATAACATTTAAAAACCTATACTTTGAACACAATATTTCAAACCTTTTCTTCAGGTACCTAAATAACTCATTTGGCCAAACCTTATACAAAACAGCATAATACAAGCAGAACTGAAGATCTCACAAACGTTTTTTGCATAGCCTATATCATCCCAAAGCACAAGTAACCAGAAAGCAAAACTCATGCATCCATGAGGAAACACTCTTGGCGTGTGGCTGTCATGGTTTAAGCATTTACAAGTTTCGTTTTAAAAACATTTTTCAAATAGTACAACCAAACAATAAGAAAGCAGTAATGCAGGTTGAATATAGCAGTGTGGGTTAAGGTTCTGAGCCTGTGGCAGTACTGTAGGTCACCAGTTCAAATTCTGTAGCTGCCTCTGCCCATTTGCTCCAAGGATAGTGGGTGACGCTGCACTCTGATCCTCACTTGCATTCAGGTGAGCTCTCTGCTTAGTAAAAAAAGACCCCAACATCTGACAATGAATCTGAAAAAGATGGCGAGAAGAGTGAAAGATGTCAAGGAGGATGAAGAAAAGGAGCAATACAAGTTACAAATGAGATTAGGAAAATAATTATTGATCATGTTCTTGTCCATGGTATGAATGAGAGGAACCAGCCAATGGATCCATTTAAATCTGAGCCACTTCTCAGTTGCATCAATAACCAGGACATCATCCTGTGCCTTTCCACTAGCTACTACTACTTGTGACTTGGAGAGTCTGCAGAGTGGCTGCACAAGTCAAAAACAGGTAGATCCACAGCACAAATCTGGAGTTTCTCTGGGGGCAAGTTACTTCTTACAGCCTGTCAGTCATAATGACAGTTAAAGGATATTGAAGAAAGACCCTTTAGTGATTTTCTTCATTTTACTTTTATAAAAACATAGCACTGAGCAGAGGCACTATAAATAAAATGCATAACTTGGCTGTTTGTGTGTGTTTGTGTGTGTGTGTCTGTGAATGTACACATGCACATGCTCACAAAAGTTTCAAATGCCAGAGTGACAGAAAGACGAGGGTAGAAGTTTGCAGCATTTCTCAGCATGCAGCTCTTCTCTTAAGGTCAAAAGCCATGTGTCATGCTTTCTATTTACACTGACTCTCGTCAGCGCCGTGACATGTCCTGAGTCACGTTCATTTCAGAGTCAGCCCATTGCCGTGATGTTCTTCATGGTTTACAAATGGAGCAACAGCTTAAACAAGATATGAATATACCATTTTAAAGTAGAACATAAGCTTTTCATTTGTGGATTTTTACTGTCATCAGTTATTTAAACTTAAGGGCAATGCAACATAAAACAAAACCCCCACATAGTTACCTTTCATATATATAATACAAGAATTAACCACGAAAGAAGAAAACTAAACATAAAAACACAGATGTTCTCAGCCTGCTTTTGTAGTTGGGTGCATGTTCTCATAAGTAATTACAAAGAATGCACTTTGAAATATTAAGGCTTAAAATAATTGTCAAACTACATAAAGTATAATAATATCTAATTTTAGGTGCATTTAATAAAAACACCCTTATATCTGTCATCATTGTGGTATTTCCCAGGCCTTGGACAGGGGGCTGTATTTTAAGAGATTGTATGTTCTGTTAAGTGCCATGTTCAATGTCATACATGATATGGCATCTATAGTGAATGAGAACGTTGTATGTAGAGCTGACATTCAGAATTCCCTTGACTTATATTCTAAAAAAAGAAAAAAAAAATCACCAAATGCTTCTTCTCTATGGATAGTTCCAGCTAACCATGATAATTCTTGCTTATAGTGAACTGATAATCAAAGTTCAGTTTAGTAAATTTAACTGTCCATAAAATTTACAATCACAAAACATACAATACGCAATATTAATATATTTATCACTTATTTATTCAAATGGTACCAAACAGAAACAACATCCTTTTAAAATGTTATTCTTTTCACTTGTATGAAATTGATTCATTTGAGTTCACTTTTCTTGACAGGGATGACATTAATAGTACCCACTATATGTGTGTGTGTGTGTGTGTGTGTGTGTGTGTGTGTGCGTGCGTGCGTACATTTATAGGTACTCACTCAAAGACATGTGATATTCACACCACTTATGCATAGTATAATAACAACTATTATTAACCTGGAAGACACCAAGTCCATTAGTAGGGAATGATACAGGGGTCCTGTCTCATATATCACCTGGGCATGAATGGCTCACACACTCTGAACAGCTACCCTGACATGCGCTAAGTGACGGGTGACTGCCAATGCAAACAATATTAACCACGTAGATCAATAATCCTGTTCTAAATTCACTATTTGAATGTACTCATTGAAGAAGTAACGAAAACCAAAAATTCAAGATTAACAAACCATTTTTTTTTCGATTATAAACACGGTCCCTAAAGTTACATGTTTACATATACCTCTTTAACTTTTAAAGGAACGTGGAACAATTTTTAAATTGTAATTCTGATTATTTAAATGACTTTGAAACCACTTAATACATATAAAGATTTTTTTGAGGATTAAACTATTTTGTTGGCTGTATGACGTCAGATTTAATAATACTTCTTTCTACGGGGAAGGGGTTACTCCTGCATCAGATCATTTCTATTAATAAATGACCTTGTAATGGGGAATTCCTACAGCTGAGTCAAGTCCGTGCTATACACTAGTGAACAGTTCATACATTAAAATAATGCTGGGTGCATAGTGTCCTACAATATTAATTTAATATTCCTGTTATTTTCTTTTTTTTGGCTAAACCTAGAGTGACTACACAAGTTTACAGTTTCAAAATTTTCCAACAATGCGAAATCCAAGAAGATTCATATATAACTTTATCATGTAGATACGGTTATATTTATTTTTATCTGCACACAGCCCAACCCAGCATAACTGTCTCTGAAACATTAGTGATAAAATAGCATCGTTATGTTGTATACGGTGATGACAAGAGCATTCTAGGCAATCCAATTTTATGACGTAGGCATTGTGGCGTTGGGGGGGGGTCTCTTTAAAAAGCCTGTCCTATCATTCGCTGCATTCAGTCGCTGAAGTTGAAGAAGTTTTTCTAGTTTGTCTCACTTGGTTTTTTGAGGAACCTCTTTAAATCGTTCACTGATATAAAACCCTAGATTTCTACCGGTATAACTTGATTGGCAAAAACGTAGCTTTTTGAAGAAGATCTTCAACGCATCGTTTCGTTCCGGGCACAAGTGTTTGGTCTGACACATCTGAGCGTTTCATCAACTACTTCTGAAGGCAGATTTTCCCCCCAACGCGCTCAGGCTATCACAAATTTCGTTGTGAATAGGGAAGGACAACCAAAAGTAAAATGAGCACGCACTACGACCAACAGCACTACCAAGATACCGATAACTGGGAGGAGCAGGACGATGAGATACCGGCCACAGAAAAAGACCTAGCCGAGGATGCCCCATGGAAGAAAATCCAGCAGAACACCTTTACCAGGTGGTGCAATGAACATCTGAAATGTATCAACAAGTCCGTAACCGATCTCCAAAAAGACTTCACCGATGGGCTCAAGTTAATCAGTCTGTTGGAGGTTTTGAGCCAAAAGAAGATGTACAGAAAACATAACGTAAGACCGAACTTCCGACAAATGAAACTGGAAAATGTATCAGTGGCGCTGGAATTCCTGGAGAGAGAACACATCAAACTGGTATCCATAGGTAGGTCAGAGTCTATGTATTTTACTGCCATTGATAAAATCGTCATGCGATCTCTAGGACAGGAGGTCCTGGAAAAGTGGAATGATGGCTAGACATTGCTGCACAAGTGCGTCTGTTCCATGAGCAGTTTAGGGAATTTATGTAAACCTGCTATCATAATCTTTCATTTTAAACGCAAAACAGCTCCTATATTTATTGCTTTTTACTGAGTTCCTGAAAATCATTAATTGATAGGTTTCTGAAAGTTTCTGTTTTTTTGGCCGACTGGAAATCTCACTGTGGGTATTAATAATGTATAGAATATAAATCACTAGACATTTTGAATAAGCCTTTGGTTCACTGAAATTTTTGTGTTGACTTTCGAGCCACCTATAGGCTCATAATCAGTTCGATTGACCTAATTGATATGATTTAATAAGCACTTACAATTTCTGCAGTAATGTTCCTCTAAGACTATTACGGTTACAAAAGAATATGTATAATGTGTTGCTTGGTTTGTATGTTTTTATTATTATTTAGATCCCATGTAGGCCTATTGCTAAGGTGGTAAAACTAATTTGTTATATTTTCCGGAGCAATATTTTCCGGTGAGGTTTATTAGAAGCTTATTCATCATTACTGGAAATGTGTACAATTAGAAGTCGAGTACATGAGTGGAGTGGTGGCTCAGTGAATAGCAATGTAGCTGCATACTATCATGGTTATGTGTTTGAGTCTATCCCCTGTCTGTGAAGTTTGCATATTATTCCGTTTGCTGCCGTTTTCCTCTGGCTATTCCGATTTCATCCTGTAGTTCTGACACCTGCAGCTAGGTGGGGTCTGGAAATTATTCTCAGTGTATGCCCTGTGATGAATTGGCGTTGTATTCAGCATGTCCCCTGCCTAGTGCACTATTTTGGGGAAGTCTCTAGTCCAGGCTTACTGCAACCACACAAAGAAAAAGTGGTTATGGAAAATGGATGGAATTTCATAATGTTTTGTTTTGTTGAAGAGTACCTTAGGATGTATTATAGCACGCTTATGTATATAATCTTTTATGGTGTGCTATATATGCTGGATGTTGATGCCTATTCCTGGTCTCTTCAATTACAAATTTAGTTTACAGTAATTTTTTGGATATTATTGTTGTGTACTTTGTTGTCCAGACGTAGCCAAATTTCAGCAAAGTTAATATTTTTTGATTAAAATATTAGGGTTTATGGTTTTTCTTCATTTTAACACGAGTCTGGGCTGTAAAACCACTGGAAGTAAAATTGTCATTAACTTCAAATACCAGAGAACATACTGTAGGTATATGAGATGGTATGTGTTCTTTTCTGCATATGAATCCATCTTTACACACCAAACCCATTGTCTTTGTGAGTGTGTGTGGAAAATGTATGGCCAGACTAAGTCTTGTAGAAATATTGTAGAAAAAGTATACCTAGATGGATGTGGCTTGAAGTACATACAAATTATGTTGCGGCAGTCGCAAATGTCAAAGTAAATGGGGGGCCAGGGGGTCGTAAATCTCACATCCCAAGTCGATGACTCTCTTCATTCTCATGTACATCCAGTGAAAGGTGGAAAAAGGTAAAAAAGATGAGAGAACATAAAAAAAACAGGTACACTTCTGAATGGCATTAAGCTTACAGGAGATCGTTTTTGAAAGATGTCTCCTGTGATGTCTCTGGATGTAGTTCCAAGATCTAGAAGAGTAGCTCTGGGAGCATGCCAGGAAACGAGTGACACAGCTGTCACCAGTATGCCCTCTCCAGGAAACCCTGCCCTTACATTGCACTCTTCACATTAAGTGCCAGTTGTCCACGCACAGTCACACACTTTGAGATACTGACTCCCTTGCTTATGTTGCCACACCAACACGCACACACAACAGATACCCATACACTAGCAGCCATAGACATAGATTTCATTCTACATGATTCTGCAGGATTTTATTTTTGTCTTATACATACTGATTTATTGACATGCTTAGTGGTCGTCATGTTGCTTCTGTATGTAGGAACGGGGTGCTATGCGCTTTTGCTAAGCTTCAAGCCCAAAGAGTGACAAGCAGGCATCTAGACTCTGGCACGCCTCCAGGAACAGAAGTTTAAAATAGCTATGCATCAGAAGTGAGAGTCATAGGAGAGGCCCCATGTGTGAGGTAGTTGGTGAGGGTGGGGGGCAGACACCTCTGATGAAACATCACTTGATATATCATTAGCCAAAGGATGTTTTAGAGTAGTGTGTTTGTTTGAAACAGCTCTTCCCGATCACATAGTGGTTATCTCTGCCGTTTCATCCAACTTGATGACAAAACGATTTCTGTGTAAGAACTATAGAGTCCAGTCTCACTGCACAACACTTTTAAGTTTAGCAACAGAGATAAAATGTCACAGGCAGATGTCTTATCTCATCCGGGAAAGTAAGTGAGAGGAGAAAGTGTGAATGAAAGTGACAGTGAGGAGAGGATTATTAAGGAGGTTAAGTTAAAAACTTAACGCAGTGACTCACCAGCTCATTAGGTGCACGCATGACCTTCTTGTCATGAGGCCATTCTTAGAAATGGGTGAGGTCAGTGTGAGGTTTACACCCCATCATTTAGGAACACCGCCTAGACCTCCCCTACTGGCTTCAAAAAGGTCTTATTCTTAATAATGGCTCCAGGACCAGCGGAAGTCAAATAGATCTGTAACATCAAAAGCCTTTTTTTTGTCTAACCCAGGTTGTATGTTTTTGACCCATCATGGCTCGTGTGTAGCAAGCTGACAGTCCTGGCAGGTTACTGAGGCGGTGAATCTATCAAGACCTCCCGACATTTCTACATTGCTTTTTTTTTGTTTTATTATCACATTAGTAATAACATCAAATACTGATAAAAATGTTTTTTTTTTGTAATTTAGCATTAAATTACTCTTACCTCTTAAATGTGCTTTTGTCTTTCTCTGTGTCCACTGTGCTTCTAAAAAGCTCTTTGTTGAGTGAAATGTGCATATTCTTTCCATGACAAATTGCTGTTTTAAATGGAGCTGCTACAGTAGGTTTACATACTGATGAGAAATTTTACACAGTCTTGCTGAGTTTAGCAAATATTCTGAAAGATAAAGAGTGATTATATGTAGAGTAAAAGCGTAGGAGTAATTATAATAATGTGGGTATAATTAGGTCTCATTATAACACATGCGCTGGTGCTGCCTCTTCATACTGACGTGGTCTCATTCCCAGTGCAATTACAACCCTTATAAATTACAATGTCATGCCTCATGTTGGGCACTAATGCAGTTTTTTTCTGGTGTCACAGTTCTTGACCTCTGTTAGTTCAACATATGATTATAAAGGGAGAACACACACAGGGCCAAAGGCAGGATCTTAGCCCCCAGTCCTGAGGGTATAAGGCTACAGTTCAACAGCCAGATAGATTGTTACATGGTTCATCAGGGACAGGGGACCCTCATGCAGAATGAACAGGAAACCAGAGTGAAAAAAACTGAGTTGGGGATAGAAGCAAAGGTCAAAAAGCCAGATGACCTATTCTGGGGGTTAAGGGAAGGATGGGCACATGTGCAGACGCAAAAAGCTTCTATTATATTAGCTTTTTGCTAAATGGCTCTCATCAAAGTGAATTCAAAGGCAATGTGAAGTGTCGTATTAAATAAGGGACAGATCTATCGCCATTACTGATGATTCCCAGGCAAAATGACATGTAATGCTTAATGTGGTTATCACCCAGGCCTGTGCAAACAGTTACCAAGAGAAAATATCTGAAACATTTTTAATAATATTACAGACAATTTAATTCTATGGGTAATCAGTCTACTATATATTAAAAGACATATATTACAGTGTTAACCACCATCCCCATTCAGCCTGCACAGTCCACTGCCTTGGTTATCATTTAGTGTTGATCAACTCTCTGCCTCTTCTTGTGTTCACATAGACAGCAAGGCCATTGTGGATGGGAACTTGAAGCTGATTCTGGGCCTCATCTGGACACTGATCCTACACTACTCCATCTCCATGCCCATGTGGGACGATGAGGACGACGAAGATGCTAAGAAACTAACCCCTAAGCAGCGTCTCTTGGGCTGGATCCAGAACAAAGTTCCGCAGCTCCCCATTAACAACTTCAACCGGGACTGGAGGGATGGCAAGGCTCTGGGCGCACTGGTAGACAACTGTGCTCCAGGTAAAGCATTTATCAAAGAAAGGAAACCTACTTGTCAAATTTTGTGTTGCCGTACCTAGCTGTCATTCGGGATGTGGCTGAGTATGACAGTCCGACATCTACAGAGACGAGGCTTGTGGCTGCTTTTAAAATTGTTGTTATTTCTAGCTTAGTGTTAACAGAAGAATGTGCTGTTGAAGATGTTGGCACACCCTAGTAGATGTTTAAGTGATAATACAACTGGGTCTCTGGATAAGAGCAGAGTCCTTCTGACATGAGCACTGAGTATAACTCGCAGTGAAGGGTATCGGTCGCAGTGTAGCATGTTTGCTCTAAAATAGCTCTTCTACTTCAGAGGAGCAACTAAAGTTAGCATGTGATGGGGTTTTGGACATGGATACAAAGACCATGTCCTCATAAACAGAGTTGGGTAATTCAGGTCCAGAGAGTAAAAGTCCAGACCGGGATTTTGTTTCAACCAACCAGTTAAGCATACAGAGTCACAGTCACAGAGTACTCAACTGGTTGGTTGAAACAAAATCCTGGCTACTGATGCTCACAGAAAACAATTTCAGCATGGAGACACTGAAACATGCAACTCTTACCTTGTTTGATTGGTCAATGCATAAATAAAATTAAATATGAGCAAGAAATTAGAATTAGAACTGGGAAATGACTACTTATTGGGAATGATGAGTTGTTAACACAGAGCACACAGACTATATACATATGTATAATGTCTTGGCCAGCGAAGGGGGCTGCGGGCATAGACCACCTGTCAGGGGGCAGCTGGCTAGACCTCCACTAAGGGGGCAGTGAGCATAGAGCTCCACTTAGGTGGCAGTGAAAGTAGACCTCCCCTGTGGGGGTAGCTGGCTAGACCCCCCCCCCCCCCCCCCCACTGGGAGCAGCTGGCTAGACCTCCACTAAGGGGGCAGTGAGCATAGAGCTCCACTTAGGTGGCAGTGAAAGT